TTGAAAACACGATGCAATTTTACGACATCATCAAAGTCCGTTTCATTCAGCTCTTTCAACGATGCAACGAGGTAATCACCTCTCCATAGAAAACCGGGGTGGATCACATATCCAACGAAGACTCCCGGATTGGATGTGGGATCAAACTTCAAGTCCTTCTTCGGTTTCTGTCTTGGGCCAATCCAGTAGTCTATGCGACATCCGAACGGCAAGAACTGACCTTTGAACTCTTCTTCGAACCTAAGATTCCAAGGTGTTCTTGAACCAGAGGGTGGTTCACAAACATTTTGAGATAAGCACCAATGCCTTGCGGCGTGCGGCCAGTATGAATGATTCAATCCGGCCTGTGCAAGTGCGACTCGAGTTCCCTCGAGCACGGTCCTGATGCTTCGTTCAGCCACCGCGTTCGATTTGTGAATGTACTCTTGACTGAGGACATGTCTCCAGCCCATCTCTTCAGCTGCAGCAATTAGTTCAGGAGCATTGTCACTGTAAAATGCGCCAACCTCGTCCGACGAGGAAGTGAAATGCGGAAACGCCTTCACAGTGGCTTCCGTGTTTCTTTTAGCAAAGGGGTATGCATATTTGAAACCGGTGGCAACGTCACTTATGACAAGGGCAGAGTACTCATCGTCTATGCCTAGTTCCTGTTCGTCTGCAGTGATTATGAAATCGGCTGTGATGCGCTCAGCAAATTTTCGAGCATCAACTTGTCTGGATCCCCCCCGCGAGCGAGAGGGAGACTTGGTCATCTTGGCGCATTTGCACACTTCGCAGAATGGATTCTTTGGCTGGTGCGTCATTAGGTGCTTCCGTGATGCTGCTTCCTGCCCTAGGGCACTTTCTGCAAGTGATCTAGGGGTCTTCTTATCGGGGTTGCCAACAACATCTTCCCCTGCCAAATCTTTACTCTCTATTGGCTCTGCATGTTCATCTGGCTTGACTTCGATGGGTTCATCCGCCAGAAGTTCAGCGACAACTCTAGCATGCACCTCAGGGTCCTCTAGAGGGGCAATGCTAGGCGTGTACTCCTCTTCCGCTGCATCTTCAGTTTGCACGGAGGAGTATGATGATTCACTGGATGCACTGCTTCCGCCGACCTGACCTTCCGGTCGGCTTTGCGGCTTGCCCTTGGCGGGACATGCCATGGCTGAGTCGCCATCCCACACGTCGTAGTACGGGACATAGTCTCGAACTTTGAGATATATCCGTGTCCCGTCAGGCTTGACAAAGAATGGCTTGTCCTTCGCGTCATAACCCTGATTCATGCACTTCAAACCTACAGAGAGAACAGATGGGGTTTGTGGCAACAAGTATGGATCCGTGTTCCCAAGGTCACCTGCGGCCATGTTGGCCTGTTTTGACGAATCACTTCGTCCATTGGCAGTCATCAACATCACGGGGTCATTCGGATTATAAATTGCATATTCGGGGCAGTTCGCACGGGTAAAAAGGTCTGTTCCGCTCCCAGTATCGATAATCCATGAACAGTTCGGAGAGAACCTCTTGCTCGCAAGCGCGGGCTTTGCGCCCATGTCTCTTGGGACGCAGTGGTTGCATCCGATCTCGCTGTCACACTCGTATTTGCATTTGGCCGGTTGGCCTTCCACTTCAAGTCTTACCTCGAAGGTTGAAATGAATCAGATACCAGCACGTGGTGAGCAGTTTAAAATCGCGGACAAACCGCGCGTGTATTCAAAGGTCTACCCAATCGACCATCCGTTTTTCCATGATCAGATCAGCATTGATGATGCTAGGCTCGAAGCAGTCATGCTAAAACGCACGCTCGGGAGGGCAGGCACGTGCTTCCAGTCCGACATGAGGTTCCCCTCAGCGATAGGGGCATTCATCATGGAAGACAGCAAGCATCCCAACACACAAACAGCAGCAGGAGAAGGCTTTCCGGAAGACTTTCCCTTGTGACTCTTCTTCTTTCCTCCCTTCGAGTCACGGGGTGGATCCTTTCGATCTCTTTCATCCCTTCGATCCTTTCTCTCCTTCTTATGCTTGTCTGCGGATGGCTCCCTTGACCCTAGAACGGCCGGCTTCGGGTCGATGTGAGCGAATGGGCAGTTTTCACCACGGTCACACCTCCCCTTGGGGTAGAAACGGCACTCTTTCTTCCCCTTTGGGCTATTCGTCCGTCCTTTACCCTTACCCTTCTTAGGCTTAGCGTCTCTTGACGGGGTCCTACCCCTGGCATTGCTCGATGGCTGTTCATGCTTGTACGTGCAATTGTCCCGCTGACACGACCCATACTTGACAAATGCAATGCAAAACCCTTTAGGCACACGTTGGCTCTCAGCGGCGGGTGCGGCTGGCCTACCTCCGTTTTGCCTAGCAACCCGTTCTCGGTTGCGCTCGAGCCTGGCTCGAGACAGGTATTGCCTCACAGATTCAATCAAGTAGGTATATGAGTGATCGGCGGACTCTTCCGAGGCGCTCAAATAGACATTCAAATGGTGTTGCATTTGCTTGCTTTTTTTTCAGCTGATTGTAGAACAGAGCCTCAAGCATGGAGTCATCCGGCGTCTTGGCATTCATTCCTGCAAGGACACCTTCCCAGCTACGCATGAAGGAAGTGAGGTTATCGTTCACGAGCCTCACGTTGAGGAGATCCTCCATGGCATAGGTGGCTCCGTGCTTGATGTTCGTGCTCAGGTGCTCGTGCACCATGAGGAGCACTTGTCTCCCACGAACAGGATTCCTCTTCTGCGCCTCGACCTCCTTGAATGTGTCGACTTGTCTCGCCAGGTCACCCTGAATGATGTTGGTGAGGGCGGACAGCAATTTGGCGTCCAAGGTGAGGAAGGTACCTGGTTCTTTGAGCTCCTCGATCGTGACGGCAGGCTCCCACACTCTGCTGATCCACGTAAAAGCGTCATCGGGGCGATCGGACGCCGCGCACACGGCTTCCCGAACCTTGATGCGCCAATTCCTGTAACTCTCAGGAAGTGGGAAGGAGGGAATGATAATCCTCTCCGCCTCCTTGACCTTGGGCTTGTCATGGTCTGCGTCCACAGCGGTCGCCTGCTTACCCAAGATCTTGTTGAGCTTCTTGCGGATCGCTCGGGCTTTCTCCGATGATGATGATGAGGATGATGATGTTGAGGAGCTGGACGATGAAGAGCTCGGAGAGTCGGAAGGAGACCCACTCTTTCGCTTCTTGTGGCTCTTCTTCTTCTTCTTGTCCTTCTTGCTCTTCTTCTTTTTGTCCTTCTTCTTCTTCTTCTTGTCCTTCTTGCTCTTCTTCCCATCGTCATTCCCATCGTCATCGTCGTCGTCATGATCATCGTCATCATCGGGATTGCCGGCAGGTGGTTCCTCACCGCCTCCGCTCTGGCCTTTACCTGCGCCTGATGGATTCCCATTACCATCATTGGGGTCCTGTGCCGGAGATGTCGGTTCGTATTCATCGGCATCACCGTCAAGATCGTCGGCAGCACCTGGCCCATCACGGCGGAGTTCGGTGGAAGCTGACCTGATACGTACCTTAGAACTAAGATCCAGGCCGGGAGGAGGAAACGTCTGTACAGGAGAGGCCTTGCACCTCAGACCGAAAACCGGAACATTAGAAGAACTACTCTGCTCACTGCGAGATTTCAGTTCATGACGTAGTGCCTCAATGTCCCTCGACTGCTTCATGATGATCTCTCTCATCTCAGCAGCGCTCCTGTCCGCGTCCTCCTTCTGCTTGTTGTTCGTGACTTCCCAAATCAATCTGAGCTGTTCATACTTCTTTTCAACTTCTAAGCGTTGAGCAACCCACTGTTGTCTTGCCTCGTTGAACTCTCTTTCTTTCCCCATTGCCTCTTGTTGGCATACATTGATGTGGTTCACCGCGTCCTGATAGAGTCGGCCTTTTTCCTCAACATGGCCTGCTTGGAGCTGATTGATGATGGCGTCGTGGCGTGCCGAAGCATAGGCAGCCACTTCCTCCGTACTCGGACCTGTGTTGACCACATTCACCGTCTGACTGTGTTGATATATGTTCGGGGCGCACACATGATGTTGATGAAGGTGAGTCTCATTCTTAGTCATGTGTGCATGCATCTCTTGCCCTGGTTGATGTCCGGCGAGAGGTTCCCCTCCGCTTCCCATTGAATCCTCCGGAAGGACGACCGAAGTGATGGGCACAAGCGCATCACCTTGGTCGGACTCAGGAAAACTGCTTCGGGAGCGCTGCGACGGATTGCATGGCGTTTTCCCTTCCGGATGCCCACCCTTGATCAATTCGTTGGCCACTGCACCAGCGATACGGCTGATAACCTGTTGAAAGGTGGAATCTACCTAGATGTCAGCACGGGCGGCAGTGAATTTTTCTTGAGCCAGTATCATGTCGGAATGCCACTACCTATCAACAATTTTTAATGAGCAGTTCTAGCTTCTAATTCTGCATTTCGAACTGCGTCCATGAATAATTACAAATTGTTGAATGATGTCTTCAATTGTTTTCTGGCAAGTTTCCGTCCAATACAATTTGGGATCAATCCAATGATGATCTCTATCAGTTCAATGGAATACGGACAAAGCCAACAGTGGCACTCACGTATCTCATGGCTCTTGGAGAGATCTGTGCGTTTCGCATGGGAAGAGGCAACACTTTGCCAACTTAGGAGTGCAAAACGCAAAGAGAAACACATCGTATGTGCAAAATCAGGATCAGCATGACGCATGCCAGCAGCTCGCCGCGTGTCACGAACCTAGGACCCCGGACCCCAGAGCTGGTGGCTTCCTCACAAACAGACCCAGCTTTGAATGGGGAGGGCGTGTCTTCCAAATTCAGGGATCCCCGGCCTGACAGCTCCCGGGTTCAACTTCGAAAAGGCCAAAGGCTGCCAGTTCAGCAGGATCCAAGTCGGATCTAGCCAGTTGGACCCCTTAATCAAAGATGCTGCCTAAATTGTTTGGGGGTCCAACTGGTCAGCTCTGGATTCAGCTTGGATGCATCCTTGGGCCCGAATCCAGCTCCAAACGCCAAACGCCCCGTGCTTCCAGGCCTTACGGAGCGTCACCGAGTTCACGGCCCTGGTCACCACCATGACGAAAGCATCCAGGGAGTACCTCGCGAGATGCCAAGAAGCTGAGAGCTCTGGGAGCTCGTGAAGGTCCATCGTTTTTTGAAGATCCCGTTCACCATGTTTGAGCATTAAGCATGTTGCACCATAAAAAGGTTTGGGGCTAGCTCGGCAAAGCCAAAGTAGGAACCCGGCGCGGTGCCGGGACCCCTTGCCCCGAGCCCGGAGATCAGCAATGGCCGAAATGGCTCCACTTGCCGGGGATTCGTGGCAATTGAGCCATTTTGTTCAAGGGCCACAGGTACCATTTAGGGCAAAACAACACACGCCATCCGAAGGCTGGACTGGAAATCATGGCTAGACATCTACGCGACTTCGACCTCTTGACCCAAGGGGAAAAACACCAACCCAGAGTTTGCATGGGCTCAACCTGGACCCGCAATGAACCCCTGTTTCCTGCCTTTGACCCATACCAAGCGGTACAAAGCTATGGTTGCCGTACTCGCGCAAGCACCACACGCAGTAAACAAAGATTGGAGTACACTGCTTGGCAACACATGCCGTGGGTGCTTGT